CTCAGGCAGGGCCCCGCCCCCAAAGCTCCCCATCATGCGGCTCCACCTCCTTCCCCCGGCCAGCTGTGTTGCTCAATCCCCGGGTCGCCCCCCACCTCCTTGTGGCACTGCTGCTGCTCCTTGGTCAGCTGCTGCACCCTGAAGTTGAGGCTGGGGCAGGAGAGAAGGAGGGCAGTGAGAGCCACCCCACGCCGCCGCCCCGCGCTCCCCGCGCGCCCCGGCTCTCGCGCACCGCTGGGCCTCGGCCTCCTTGCGCCGCTGCGCCTCCTGCGCGCGGCGCTGCTGCTCCGCCTCCATGTTCTGCAGCATGGCTTCGGTGAGGCTCAGGTCCCACGACTGCAGCACGCTGACCACCGCGTCCAGGGAGGCCACCTGGTGGAACGATTGACCGGGCACTCAAAAGCGTCCGCGCGCATTTCCCCCGACCTGCAGGGAGGTAAAGGCGCAGGCCCGAGAGGTTACAGCGCCCACCGCTGGTCGTGATGGGGCCAGAGCCGTGACCCGAGCCCCCTGCCCAAGTCCAGGCTGGCGCCCACTGCCATGGGGAGCCTCCGGGGCTTCCCTTCCCGCTGCATCCCTCCCGCCCCCAGGCTCCCCGCTTCGGTCCGCTGCCTCGGTTCACACCAGCGACCCGGGCTCACATCGGCGCACGGAGCTCACACTGGCACCCCAGCTCACACTGGCGCCCCAGCAGACGCTCTGGTCCTCATTTCTTCCTGACCAGTGAGAACCTCCCAGGGCTGCACTGAGGAGTAAATGAAGAGCTTACGAAACGCACTTTCCAGCTGCTGAGAACAGGCTAGCCCCTCCCTTCCGTGGGCCGTCCTCGGCATTTGCCGACTTTCAGCTGTTAAATGGGTGACTGCGGGACAGGGCTTAACAGGCTTGCCACAGGGACCCTGCTGTCCACGGGGCCGACTGGACGCTCCCGAACAGCTAACCCACGGCGGGGGGCACCTCTTGTTGGAACGGGGCCTCCAAACTATGAAGCCCAAGGAGCGTTTGTGGACTGGTGGGCAGAGCCATGGGAGAAAGCGATGCAGACGCAAGTAAGCGGATGGAGGGAAGGCCTTGTAAAACACCGCAGCCAAAAGAAGGAAGGAGGCATGGAGGTGTTGACAATGGACATACTGAGGGGCTGGTCAGCAGATGGATAAGTGAATGGTGGTTGTGTCAGGTGGAAAATGGTCACTGAATGAAGATGAAGGAGGAAGACGTGAGTTGGGTGCCATTGACAGATACTCAAAGTACAAAGACAGAAACGATTGATGGGTGGTGATAGGCTGGTGGAGGGAGAATTGGGCTGTGGAGAAGACAAGTGAGGAGACAGCAAAGGGACAAGGATGGGTGCTTCTGTGGGGCAGGGGTGACTGAGTAGTGATGAGGTGTGGGGGATGAGTACAGAAAGAGGTGGAGAGAAGCAAGGTCACTTGCACATCTTCCAGGGTAATTCCTTGACAGGCCAAGCTGGGGGGGGGGGGCAGAGAGACCCCCAAGGGGGCCCGAGTGTGGGCAGACAGGGGAAGAATTCTGTGGATGGGCGGCAAGAAAAATGGAGAGAAGAGCAGAGAGATGGATGTAGCAAGTTGGATAGTAGAAGTGATATGGTGCCCGGTGCGGCCTCCCAGCCCCCAAAGCCTCAGTTACCATATGCTGACTTGAGCATCATCTACAGGCACAGGGGTAAGGAAGGAGACCAGCAGCAGGTATGGAAGGCTGCAGGTGTCGTGAAGTCTTTGGGCTTCAGGACAAGGTCAACCACTTTCCAGGGGTTGGGACTTTGTGGCTAACATGCTGTAAATGAGGGCCTTGGCCAGTACATTCCTACAACTCCCGTCTCCCTCCCCTGCCCCCATATGCCTCCTTCGTCTTCTTCAAGCATGCCGGTGTGCTCACTCTGCCTGGAAGCCCCCCAGACATTCACAGTGCTCAGACCTTCACCTGCTTCACATTTTCCCTTGCCTCCCACCTTTCTTATAACCACAACCCCAACCTTGCCAACCCCAGTAGCTTGATCCCCTTTCCCTGCTCTATTTTTTCCATTATCCATAAAAACCCAAACCCATTGCTGAGTCAATTCTGACTAATAGCGACCCTTTAGGACAGGGTAGAACTGTCCCATAGGGCTTCCAAGAAGCACCTGGTGGATTTGAACTGCCGACCTTTTGGTTAGCAGTCATTCTCCATAGCACTTATTATTGATTGACTGTCCATCTCCTCCCAGTACAGAGTGAGCTCTGTGATGGCCAGGGCTTTGTATTGTTCAAAGGTGTGCCCCAAGTACCTAGAACAGTGGCCAGCACAGATATGTTATTAGCCCATGACTGGACTAATCAGTGAATGAATTAATGAATGGATTCACATCATCTGTTTGTAGTGACAGATGAATGGACAACTAGGTGAAAGAGGGATTGGATAGATGAACATATGGATGGATTCATTGATAAATGAACAGATAAATAAAAACATGGATGGATGATTGAATTAATTTATGAATAAGCATATGAATTTTATCCTTGCTTTGGATTGGGGCCCAAAGGACTTGGTCAGAGTCAGGGTGGCCAAGAATTAGATGGTCTCTCACAAGGACTGCAGCTCTTCAAATCATCTCAACTCCTAAAATTGGTAGGGTAATTTCAGACTGCTAGTGCCCCCAAGTGAATGACAAAAG